AATTGCAATATTTTAATAAGACATTCATATAGCAAGACATGAAGAAAATATGGTATTTAATAACCTCTGGAGTATTTTAAAACATGTCTTAGGGCCTTAATGTGCCTGGTAATATACTATTTAAAACCATAATTTTATCCCTCCACAATATACAGTCATTCTTCCTCGCCATTTACCCAGCTAATGAATGCCAGCAATTAGTAAAATGTAATCCCATTGCACAATCATTTTAATGCTTTTAGCACTCAGAAAAGTAAACACCAAATTAATACTGCTCAAGCCATATCAGATCCTAGTTGGAAGCAAGCAATTATAGTTCAGCTCCTCAGGTGTAATTAAATGATTGGAATGATTTAGTTCCATAAATGCAAGTTAATTCATAAGCAAGCAACAAATATACTGGGAGTAATTACAAGAAACATTGACAGTCTAAGCAGGGCATGTGCCTTCCTGCACCTGATGTAGGAAAATGCTGCCCTCTCCCGGAAATAATAGACTATGGCACAGGAAAAATTGGCGACCGAAGTCAAGAGGCTCATTTTACAGACTTTGTCTTCATAGGCGAAATAGCTTCTGCTAATTAATAGGAATTTTCTGATTTACACCTACAGAAAATAGAAAAATCTTTGTTGATATCAGATTAAGGTCACAGCTCGATCAAACTCAAACAGAAAGAGCTTTTGGGGCTCCCTCGGGTTTGCTGTTTAGTTTCCCCATTATTAGAAACAAAAATATTAGTAAACAGTTTAGAACAACAAAATACTCCAGACACTAAGTATTTAAACTGGCTGTTCCAAACACAAACGCTGCAGTAGGTACCTAACTTGTGTACAACACTGACATATCATTCAAGATGTACCTTTACAGTAGGTACTTCGACCATAAGGTATTTTTAAAACCAAAACTTATTGAACCATCACTACTCAGTGAGTGTTAAACTTCACCACATCAACAACAATCAGAAGATGGCCATGAAGCGTTTCACATGAGGAATCATCAGAAAAATTGAATACAATCTGTTAATCAAGCTATCTAATAATCAAAAGCTAGAAATTAAAATAAAGTGTACTGGTAGACGGAGACAAAACTGGAAGTACAAAATGAAACCCTAACCCAAACACTAGACTTAATTTTAAATCTAGAGTTAATTTTCTTATTCACTATTTATTCAACCTGTGTTAGACTACTACTTGAACATCATGAAATAAAGTGAAAATAAAAAATATTGTCTGTTGAATATAAAATACAACAGCCACATAAAATTCATAGTACAAAACAACCTGCAATATGAATATAAATTAACCAGCATCTTCCTAATAATGAAAGAAGTCTCAGACCTAACTATTTTTCCCTCTACAGAAGTAACAAATGCTCCTCAGTGCTGCATATAGCAGCATGGAAGAAAATCACACACTGTGGTCAGTATATGACTGCATTCCACACACACAAACTGTACGAAAACTTGATTCTGAAGAACCTGATCACTGCAAAAGCCTGAAATTGTTCTTCACCAATTGCACTTTGGCATCAAAATATTTCTTTGTTCCACATCTTGGTGTATTTCAAAACAAACTCAAGCTACACAAATATATTCACTGTTGCTTTACTTAGTGTGGAAATGAAATGAATTATTTTAAGAAGTCATATTATTAAAAGTTTAAAATGTACAGCACATTTGCTTTGCCCTTTGATGTCACAGTCCTATTTTTCTATTCAAATCTTGTACACTGTAAGTTAATTGCTTTTGGAAACTACTTATTATTCATGTAAAAATTAATGTGCCAATGTGTTTAAATCCTTTTAAATGACCATTCATGCATCTTTCTTCTTTAAGTACCAATGAAATCTGTCAAAGATATCAATGCAAGATGGTCTTAGACAAAGTTCTAATAAAGATTTTTTCTGCTAACATAAGATTTTCATTTTCGTCAACTTTACTTAAATTCCATTAATTTTTTAAGCTGCTTTTAATAAATTCACAAGTAAAAAATTTTAGGCTCCATAGTCTGTCATTTGTGTTCCAGCTGACTTTATGAATATTAATAACAGTGTTATCCTGATTAAATAGGCTTCATATAAAATCCCTGCGAATCCTATAGCTCAGACATCTCATTTTTCCAACTCTTTATGAATTTGGATTCAGACATTAAACTGGAAAAAACCTTAAAAAACAGATTCAATGGTACATTCATGTACCCTTAAGCAAAAAATTAGATGTTCTAATGATTCAAATAATTAAAATTAATAGGACCACATATTGAGATTTCAGGCTTTCTGTAAACATGCAACATATTTTAACTCTAATGAAAACATCAACATTATGGAAAAAGGATTAAGAATCTACTATAAAATAATAATACCTGTCCTAATGCTTACCTTAAACAACAGATGATATAATCTTAAATCTTCATATATGGAATGCTGATTTGCAGAACTGTTTCCCAAAGAGAAAGAAATGAGTGGATGCTTAATTACATAAGCATACACCTGACATACATGAACATTCTAGTTTACCATAGATGCCCAGTACAAAAACAGCATTAACTTTTAAATGGTTCATACTTCAGCAAAAACAACCTTTTTCCTAAGAACATCAAATTGAAGCACACAGGAAATATTAACATTATCCTATGAGACTGGCGCAGTCACAATTTAAAACTGCAACTTCGACCATGCTTCTATGTCTGAATTATTTACACCTATGACAGACAAAAATGAAAAATTAAGCTCACTGTACTGCCTTCACTTTTTTAATATAGTGCTAGCTAAAATGACTCCATTCATCTAGGGATATATTCTGCAAAGAAGGCCATTAAAATACTTTACCTTCCACTACCCTGGACTATGAATGGACTTTAGGAGAAAAATAAACCCTAAACAAAATAATGTCTTATTCAGAAGGATGGCATTCCAGTCCTGGTTCTAATTATTCATCAACACAAACACTTGATAGGAATCAAATGAAAAACAAGAGGTATGTAAAAGTACATACACTTGCAAGATAGGAAGCATACGATGCTTTACTTGTACAGTTCTGAATAGCTTTTACTACAGCTATGGCAGTATTTCCACACTCAGGGGAAAAAAGAAACCTCTGGAGCACTCTATGGTAACATTAACCCCTTAACAGCACCACAGTAACACTAACATCAATGCTTTCTCTCCCTGAGACATCCATCCTCTAAGATGGAGTTCCCCTCCAGCAGACTCCCCCTCCTCAGGAACCACAAGGCTGTTGAGACCTTTCCACATGGAGACCCAATGACTGCAAACCCCATTCCCTGGTCTTGCCTTGAACAGGTTTTGAAGTCAACCAGAGGCCTTAGCTGCTGTGTCAGGAAGCAAACGCTTGCTGGTGCCAAACAAATTCACCTCTTCCTTGCAGAAAGTCCTCTGGTCTTAGCAGAGCTTTTCGACAAGGAGGGCTATCCCACCTGCCCTGCCTCTGGTGGAACAAGACACCTGTTCCCACCAACCCCTGGAACAGCAGTAAGCCAGTCTTTGTCCCACTTAAAGATGAAGTTGACAGGTGCTATTGACAGTGCAGGGATGAAATACCATATAGTTCATAAATAGGGAAATAGAGAATGAATTTTAGTATTATTTTGATAAGATGAATCAGATTACCAGGATGCTCAAAAATATACTGAAACGTTTTGCCTCAGGGCAAACTAAACTACAAAACTTAATTTAGGAGGGAATGCCACATAAAAAAGAGTTATCTTCTCGAAGCATTTCCCTAGGAAGCAAACAGGCAGTTTTCTTAGCCCAGGTGGATGCCAAGTTTTGATGCAATGATACACTCTTCTGCAAAAGAGTCACATTTCCTCTCTATCTTAAGAAACTTTATGGCAAATCAGAAATCTAAGGCAATGCAAAGTAAGCTAAAATTAGCTCTGGGCAGTTATAAAAACGCTACTCAAAGGATAACTGAAATAGCCACTTCAAATATTTGTCAAATGTGGAATAATGCCCAACTGCTAGGAACTTAAAAGCTGTGAAATGAAAAATACTTTGTGATTACAGAGGTACTTATTTTATTGTATTCTATTACTTTTACATGCTTTTCAATACAAACAGTTCATGCAAAATATTGTTTCTTTTGAAAAGAATATAAAACATGGGCAAGTGGATTAACTTCGCAAGTGGATAAATCTAGCACGAGCAGTACTTCAAATTTATAATTCTAGCACTGCTACAACAACGTCAAGATTTTGGTTTACAGAAGTAACTGCATTATCTGGAAGCCTGATATAAACATTTTCCCAGAGGGCAGAGTCCCATAGTCATCCTTGGATTTTCTCCCCTACCGATTCTTCACCCAAACAGAGCTGAGAGTTTCAGCCAACCTGCTTAAATCAGAGAAGACTGCTATTAGCTCAGTGTCTTTAAGGCTCAATTTTCTCTCTGTGCATACCAGGAAGTGTTTATGTGCATATTAGATCACCAACAGCCCCATATATCTTCTCCCCTCTGTTACATATGCTTGTCCACATTAACAACCTCCACAAACCACATTAACAATCTTCACTTGTATTTTACTTCCTAAACGATCTTTGGCCTACTCTATTGTCTTTTTCCCTGGGTTTTAGCTGCCTTTTGTCACCCAACTCCTTTATTTTTCCTTAGTTTTGTCTTCTCTTTGCCAATATATGCCTTTTCCTTCACCCCATGCCCACTACATCTTTGAAATGTAAAGAAAATGGCAGAGGATCTTGACAAAGACTGTCTCCGTCTGCCTTCACAGCCTTTCTCATCTTGGTGTGCTTCTGTGAAGCAGCATTCTT